TGCAGCCGCGGGGTCACGCCTCCCCTCGGGCCCGCCCGCAGTATTTCGTGCAGATGTTCCCGGTGGTGGAGGAGCACGTGCGCAAGTCCATGGGGGAGCAACTCTACCAGCTCTTCCTCGTGAGTGCCCCCGCCCTGCCCGGAGGGTGCCCCTCCGCCTGTCCCCACCTGGCACCCCGCACGCGGGAGGGCGCGCACCGGCAGGGCTACCGGGCCCGCGGACTCCCCGCCCCTCTCCTCGCCGCCTGCAACAGCCTTTTGCCCAAGCCCACCCCCAGCACCCCAGCCGGGCCGCCTTTGCTGTCCTCAGAGCAACGCCGCGGACTTGTACCTGAAAATAGACAGCGTCCAGGCGGACATCCTGGCCGCCAACAAGGTCAACGTCACGGAGGGTGAGTGGGGACGCGGAGCCCGCGCCGCGAGCACAGAGCAGCGCGCTCACCGCCTTCCCTCCTGCAGCGCTGCACCTCTGCGAGGTCTCCCGCTGCACCCTGAACTTCCTCTCGGACTCCGGAGCCCCAGAGCGGATGGCCTGCGGCTCAAGCTTCCAGGAGGACCGTGGGGAACCAAAGGAGTAGCAGCTCCCGGATGGCAGGGAAGCCTGGAAGGAGGAAGGAGCCTGGGGGCAAGCGCTGGGCCACTGCGCCTGGCCCTCCGCTGGGTGGAGGTGGGCCTGCCAGCTGCGGGCTGGGAAGAGCTCAATAAACGGTCTCGATATCTCTCTCTGTGTATGTGTGTGTGTGTGTGTATTGGGGGAAATCAAATGAGAGCTACCCTGATAGGGTGGAGTGCCTTTGTCACCCAGTTACAAAGCAGGTCCAGGGCTGGTCTCCCATGTAGTCTACCGCAGTTCGAGTCCCGACCCCGCAGCTTGAAATACGCTGGGCACATGTGCGTGTGTGTCCAAAATCCCAAGAAGAATGGAGGAGAAGGGTTTGTGGCATGGCCATCCCCTGTTTCTGTCTCTCTGTCTCTCATGAGAGTGCACACATTCTATAGCAAAAAAAAAATCTTTCTAAAAAAAAAATAGCAGGTTTCTTGCTTTCTCACTTTCCCCTCTCTCTCCCGCTCTGTCTCTGATGAAATTTAAATAAATAAATAAATAAATAAATAAAATAAACTGACATAAAATAATTTTTAAAATGGATTCCATGAGACCAGCAGATGACGTAATGGCTACATCTTTGGACTCCCATGTAGTCGACCGTGTTCGAGTCCTAGACCTGGTGGCTTAAGCTCAGCCAGGCGCACATGCCCAAGATCCTGAGAGGAGATGGAGGAAAAGGGATTGCGGCGTGACCAGCCCCCCTGGGGGGTGATTTCTCGCTGTCGCTCTGTCTCTGTCTGGCGAGCACATGCACCCTATAGCAAAAAAAACTCTCAAAAAAAATGGGTTCAGGACTACCCAAGGCCTTCGTGTTTAAGGGAGCCAGATTTCACTTGGTTCTATGGTTCAAATCCCAGTTCCAGCGATTGAAAAACACACCAGGCTTGTGTGTGTCGGTGCCTGAAATCCCTACAGGAAGAATGGAGAAGGGATTGCAGTACCACCACACGCCACTGGGGATGCTTTCTCCCTCTGCCTCTCTCTGGCAGGTGCACACGCCCCCTGGCAGTTAAAAGCAGTCGGCATAGTGACTGTGGCAGTGGACTCCTATGTGGCCGACCATGGTTTGAGTCCCAGACTAGTGGCTTAAAACTCACACCAGGCACGTACATGCGTGTGTGCCCAAAATCCTGAAAGGAGAATGGAAGAGAAGGGATTATGATGTGGCCATCCCCACTGGGGGTGGGGTGATTTCTCACTTTATGTTTCTCTGTCTTTGTGTCTTAGGCAAGCAAGCATTCTTGCCATATAGCAAAAACCGCAAGGGCACAGGCTGAATAGCCTCGCCTCAGCCCCCGAGGGCCTGCACGCTCTCCTGTCACACCGCCTGGTTGGTCTCGGACCCTCTTGCAGCTTCTCATTCTCGTTTGCTGATTCCTCACTTTAACCCAACTTCTTTGAGTTTGTAGCGAGGCAGGACTCTGGTCTTGAAGCACTTCTCTATCTGCGTTTTTAATTTGCCAGAGAGTACACGTGAAGTTAAGGCCCCTCTCCTTTTTCTTTTTGGAGATGTTGTGTGTGTGTGTGTGTGTGTGTGCATGTGTGTGTGTGTTTGGCCGGGGGCACTTGTGTTTGGCAGAGAGACGGCGAGAAATCACCCCCCAGGGAGGATGGCCGGGGGGATGGCCACACCATAACCCCGTCTCCTTTCTCCTCTTGGGATCTTGGGCACGCACATACACGTGCCTGGCGTGAGTTTAAGCCACCAGGTCTGAGACTCGAACTGTGGTCGACTACATGGGAGTCCAGCGACATAGCCATTACACTAACTGCTGGTCCCAAAGCCCCCTTTTTTGAAAGAAGTTCAAGCTTGGAGTTATCTGTTCACACGTTTTTTATTTTTAAAGATTTATTTAACTTTAACTTATTTATTTAAAAAAATTTTTTATTATTTTTAATTATTTATTTAACTTCATTTATTCATTCATTTATTTTTATTTTGACCAGAGAGATACACAGAGAGAGAGAGAGAGAGAGAGAGAAGGTGAGAAAGCAAGCCACCAGGTCCATTTATTTTTATTTAGATAGTTTAATTTGACCAGAGAAGGACAGAATGAGAGAGAGAGAGACAAAGGGAAAGTGAGACAGCAAGCCACCAGGTCCAGGACTCGCACCGCAGTGGGCTGTGTGGGAGTTCAGTGCCCTTAACTACCACGCCACCTGCTGGCCCCAATTATTATTTTAAATGCCGCTACAGGAAACATGCTCTCACCAGAGACAGAGAAAAAGAAAGCAATCCACTAAGTTCAAGACTTGAACTGCAGTGGGCCACGTGGGAATGCAGCATCTTAACCACCCTGCCACAGGCTGGCCTCAACTGCCCACGAGTTTTTAGGCCTTCCCAGCCCTCGCTCCCCCCTTCACTCTGCTCCACACACTGGCCTCCAGCTGGTCCTGAAACAGACAAGCTCTTGCCTTAGGGGTTTTGCATTAGCTGTTCCCTCTGCCTAGAATGTCGCCAGAGAGCTGTCCACACAGCCGCTCCCTTCCCTCGCCTCCCTTCAACTCCTTACACACAAGTCACCGCTCTCGCTTTATTTCTAAGTTATTTGTTTTATTTTATTTATTCATTAATTTATTTTCAGTTTGACCATAGGGAGATACAGAGCGAGAAAGAGAAAGCAAGCCACCAAGTCCAGGACTTGAACCATGGTCGACCATGTGGGAGTGTCCAGCACCCAAACCACCGCGCCACCTGGGGGTCCTTTTTTGTTTTTTAATTTGCTGTCGGGCACATGTGCTTGCCTGAGAGAGACAGACAGACACAGAGAGAAAAAGTAAGAAATCACCACCCCCCAAAGGGGTTGGAAATGATATCCCTTCTCCATTCTCCTCTCAGGATTTGGGGTACACATCCACGCACACACACACCCAGCATGTTTGTTGAGCCTCTGGATCATGGCACGACCGTCCCCCATGGGGTGATTTCTTCCTTTCTGTCTTTGTCTCTCTGGCAAGTACCCATGCCCTATAGCAAAAATCTCTCTTAAAAAAAAAAAACTGTAGTGGGACCAGCAAGTGGCATAGTGATTAAGGCGCTGGACCCTCCCACATGGCCAACCACGGCTTGAGTCCCGGACCTGGTGGCTTGTTTTTTCACTTCTCTTTCTCTCTCTCTGTCTCTGTGTGTCTCTCTCTGGTCAAATTCAAAATAAAAAATGAACGAATAAATAAAATTAAGAAATTATTTTTTTTAATTGTAGCACACACTTATTTTCCATGCTCATCACCCTGACTCATTTTCCCCACAGCATTATCGGTTTTTTTCTTTTTTAAGGTTTTTGCATAGGGCTTGTACACTCACCAGAGAGACACAGAGAGACACAGCAGAAAAGTGAGAAATCGCCTCCTAGAAGGGGATAGCCATGCTGTAATCCGTTCTCCAATCCCCTCTCAAGATTTTGGGCATGCTGGGGCTGGCAGGTGTTGTGGTGGTTAAGGGCACTGGACTTCCACATGGCTGACCATGGTTCAAGTCCTGAACCTGGTGGCTTACTTTCTCTTTCTCTCTCTCTCTTTCTCACTCTGTCCCTCTCTGGTCAAATTTAAATTAATTAATTAATTAATTAATTATTAAAAAATATTTTGGGCATGCACACACACACACACCTGGCATGATTTTCAAGCCACCAGGTCTGGGATTCAAACCGAGGTCAATCTTATGAGGTCCCATGCCTTAACCACTCTGTCACCGGCTGGCCCCATAGCACTACTTTATTTATGCTGTTTATTGTCTGTCTCCCCACTTGACTGTAAGCTCCACTAGAACAGGGATTTGTTTCCTGAAATATCCCAAACACAGGACAATACCTGGCATGCACGAATGCAGGACCCAGGTGTTTGGAAGAAAATTGTCCCTGCAGGTCTGAGGAAGTGAAGTCGGATGGCAGTAATTCTCCAGGCTACCACAAGAGGGCATCACCAGCCCTGATATTGTTGGTCTAAGGCCGCCCAGCTTCCCGGAGGATTTTGAGCCTCACTCCTGTTTGGACCTAAGGAGAGAAAAGTTTAAATACATTCTTATGGTTCCATAAAGCTAGATGGATTTTCTATTTTAAAAAAGTGTCCTGTTAGAGATGAGGTCATTTTTACTAATTTTAGTCTTGAAGTATCCTTTCTTTTGTATAATGATAGTAAAAAATAGTACATCAGAAATCTTTTGGTTTTTTGTTTTGTTTTTTTTTTTTTTTTTTTGGTCAAAGGGCACGTGTGCTCGCCAAAGAGAGAGACACAGAGAGAGAAAGTGTGAAATCACCCCGTGGGGGGATGGCTCCATCACAATCCCTTCTCCTCTATTCTCCTCCTGGAATTTTGGGCTCACACACACACGTCCAGCGTAATTTTCTTTCTTCTTTTGTTTTAGAGGTTTTTGCCTGACGGTGCAGGTGGAGAGAGACAGAGACAGAGTGAAAGTGAGAAATCACCCCCCGGAGGGAGAGCCGCACTGCAATCTCTCCATTCTCCTGGGATCTTGGGGACACGGGCACACGCACCCGGCGTGATTTTCAAGCCACCAGGTCCAGGACTCAGACCACAGTCAGCTGTGTGAGAGTCCAGCGAGGGAACCACCACGCCATCTGCTGGTCTCCCCGGCATTATTTTCAAGCCTCCAGGTCCAGGACTCCAACCGCAGCTGGCCAGGTGGGAGTCCAACACCTTAACTGCCATGGCACTTGCTGGCCACATGGATTTTGGAAACTTTAAGAATTGTGGGGCCAGCAGGTGGCATGGTGGTTAAGGCGCTGGACTCCCACATGGTCAACCACTGTTGGAGTTCCAGACCTGGTGGCTTGCTTTCTCATTTTCTCATCTTCCTTCTCGCTGTGTGTCTGTCTTTCTCTGGTTAAATGAAAATGAATGAATAAATAAAATCAAATTAAAAAATAATTTGGCAAACCCAAAAACATGGGAACCACTGGACTAGAGTAATTGGAGTTAAATTAGAAACAATGGAGGGCTGGGGCCAGCAGGTGGCGTGGTGGTTGGGGGCGCTGGACTCCCACGTGGCCGACTGCAGTTCAGTCCCGGACCTAGTGGCTTGCTTTCTCACTCTCTCTCTTGCTCTGTTTCTCTCTGGTCAAATTTAAATAACTAAAGT